GATGAGCAGTATATTCGGCAAATAGAAACTGTTTTTCGATTGCTACCTCAATTAAAATTGAAATTATGTTTTTTGCTTGTTTCGTTCACATTATCAGCATGACAGACATAAGCATAATGAGGGGGGAAAATCAAACTAACGATGTGATTGTTATCTTTTTCGTTCTTGTCAGAGAGAGAGAGAGAAAAAGGTTATTTTCAAAGAATGAAAGAAAAATATACAATGTATGCGAAAAGGTATCTACTGCAATGATTTTTAGGTCACGCTCCACATGAAATATACATAGAAAGTCGGAAGAAATAATCGTAAAATAAATGACGTTGTTGGTTTTTTCCCCTGTCATTTATTATTGACAACCATATCATCGATTGCAACTAGATAGAAGCAGTCCTTGACCGTCAACGACAAAAAATACCCACATTTGACGTCGTAGAAAAAAAACAACGAACATCGAATATATAAATACAAAAGGTAAACTCTGTCCAAGCAGCAATTTTTTATTGAATCATACTTCATTATCGAGCAAATGGCAACAGTCTCTCTTCAAATCAGTCGACAACGAAGACGACGCATGGCTGAAAATTATTTCGTCATCTGGGTCGATGGAAATATGGACATGGCCAAGAAAGATTATCAACATACGCTCGAGCAATTACACGACGTTGTCAATGAAGTGCATACATGCACCACGGTGGAACAATGCATTGCACTGCTGAATGAAAATAAGGAGGAGACCTCATTCATTATCTCCTCTGGTGCACTTGGGCAACATCTTGTCCCAGACATTCACGCCATGCCAAAACTCGACACCATATATATATTTTCTCGCAACAAACAACTTCATCAACAATGGGCTAAAAATTGGACAAAAATTGAAGGTGTCCACAAAACTATCAAGTCAATATGTCAAGCATTGCAAGTAGCTGTTAAACAATGCAATCAAAATAATACAACAGTGAGTATTATCAGTGTTAATGAAGCGAGTTCTAGCGAAAATCTCAATCAGCTAGAACCCAGCTTCATGTACACACAAATATTCAAGGAAATACTCCTTGACATGGAACATACCCAACAAGCCATCAAAGACTTCGTCACATATTGTCAAGAACAATACAAGGACAATGTGCAACAAATCAAAACTATTGACGAATTCCAGTGCACTTATCATCCAACATTGGCAATATGGTGGTATACACGCCCATGTTTCACGTACAACATGCTCAATCAAGCATTACGTACACTTGACGCTGATATCATCATCCGCACGGGTTTCTTCCTGTGCGATGTACACCGCCAAATTGAGCAATTACACGAGAAACAGGTCAGTGGATACAACGGGAAGATTTTTACAGTCTTCCGGGGTCAACGACTACCGAAAGCAGCTTTAGAAAAGCTCGCCAACAGCAAAGGCGGGCTTATCTCTTTCAATAATTTCTTATCTACAAGTAAAGTTCGAGAGGTCTCCCTCTGTTTCGCTGAAGGCATCTCAGGAGCAACCGATATGGACGGTGTTCTTTTTATAATCACCATCGATCCCACAGTATCATCAACTCCATTCGCCTCCATCCAGGAGGTCAGTTACTTCAAGGAAGAAGAGGAAATTCTCTTCTCCATGCACACTGTTTTTCGAATTGGCGACGTTCGAAAAATTGACAAGGAAAATCCACTTTATGAAGTGGACCTGAAACTTACGTCGGACGACGACGAACGACTTCGTCAATTAACTGATTATATACGAGGCGAGGTCGGCGGCAGTGGATGGTACCGAATGGGTCAACTGCTGCTCAAAATTGGTCAATTCAACAAGGCCGAAGAACTGTATAACGCACTANTGTGTTCATGAAGTTGAGCTCAGTTATAGTTATATGGTACCGAATGCTGCAACCCTATTGGTCGGTTTCATAGATCGCCTGTAGCATGGGTAGGATTGATTTTTTTTCGAAAAAAAGTGGACGTCGACCTTTCCCAGGACTCAGAAAAGAATTATGGAAAGTTTGGTGACTATAGCTATAACAGGGACTGAGTGCATCGCGAACAAACAAACACACAAACAGACATTCTTCTTTATATATATAGATTTATTCATTTGAAAATAAACTTGATTTATCACTTTTTAATTAAAAATTGATTCGATGATGATGAAACAAATGCATCCAACTTATATTTTGTAATGTAGGAGTTCAGTTAATACAATAATATGTTCATTGTTTTTGAGCATAGAGTGAAAATAAAATTAACTGAATTCCTATAGATTTCAATAAGATAATAAAGAAAATATCTGGTTCTACGCTGTATTGAAATGCATAGTCCTCTATCATTAAATTAACGGAAAAACATATTTGAATAAAAAAATAAAAAGGTTGACAATAGATTTTCTAACAGGAAGTATATAAAATATTCCTATAATTTACAAGAAAAAAGAGACTATGCTGTAACGAGGAGTTGCTTATAATATTATAACACAGAAATAAATCATAACTTTGCACTTTAGTATAATTCTTTACAAATAGGACTTTTCAATCTTTTTTTTTTGGTTTAGTACGATCATCATCAGTTTATCAAGACATCACTTGCGACTTTAACCTGACTGTTTATGCCAAAATAAAAAGAAATCGAACAAGCACAACAACGTAAACTAATTCATAAAGATATATCTCGATGTACATAATATTGACTAAAGTAAAAATGAATGACGTCAAATGAAAATTAAATTTTCAAGTGTATTATCTTGCACTGACAATAACAAGTAATTTTCAAAGAAAAACATTGAATAAAACAATATAAGAATGAACAAATAAATCATAATAACGCAGTTGAAATTTAATGCAGAAATCAAAATTTTTGCTCTGTTTTATTCAGTACGGTCATCATTTGTGATCTTAGCCTGACTGCTTATTGAAAAACAAACATTAACAACAAGATAGTCAAAATTACAGTAACAAAAAAAAATTAATATTATTCTATAACATAAACTAATTCATAAACATAAAAATATATCAATGAATATAAAAATGTTTGAGAATTCCTATTTGTGAAATTAAAGTTCACTATGTTTACATTAACATGATTTATTTATTATTTTATTTTTCTTATTGAAGTTTTTTCTTTCAAATTGACTTATTATTGTTATTGCAAAATTATCAGCAATGTTCGACTAGAAAAATACACAATTTTGATATATCCTCTGCATTTATAACTTCAAAATTGTCTAGGTTGAACGATATGGTCCTTATACGGTACTCAAGAATACACGAAAATATGGTTCGTTTAGAAGCTGTATGAAGCAAAGTAGTGGTGAAAAGACAAATAACTGTGTATTCGTCGATCTGAGTGTACATCTATAAACCTAATACTAAGAGTATGGAATTGTAAGCAACAAGATATCATAAAACTCTTTATATTATAAGAGAAAGTATAAATGCAGAGTTAGGGAGTTATACATTGTGCCTCTTGTCTTAAAAAGTAGGGAAAATGATCGAATAGGTAAAAATATAGAGAAAATCTCAATTTTCAGTCATGAAAACATATACTGAGCACCTATAGGGTGTCTATCGATACTCTCCAAACTTGTCGAGATTTATGCTTTTCTCTACATCTTTTTAATCTCAAAAACACCATTTATGACTGAGAAAGTTAATATTTATATTTTCAGGTTTACATTCATGCTTCTCACTCGAGTAAAATTCTTACATATATTAAGATAAATAATGTAGGTGAGTGAGTCTGCTTATGGGTGTGGATACTGATGCAAATGTGGGATATTAATGGATATGGGCTACTTGAGGACCCATTGTTGTTGCTGCGGATTTTCTCGTCAACCACAATAGTGCATTCACACTAACATGTTCTTCCCGTAGATTTATACAAAAGTTGATTGTGAATAGAAAACTAAATGATTTTTTAAGCCCTTTCCATGAACTGGTTAAGAATGATCCAGCAGACTGGACCAGTTAAAAAACTCTCGACCGGTTGCAACCCTTATGTGGAAACATATACCATCGAATAATTGAAAATGATTCATTATGACCCAGAAAAACTACCAAGGTTTTTGATATTTTTAACCATCTCTATCAGATACTTTTTTATACATCCTACTATTCAATCTTCGTCCCTTCGTGGAACTTCTGTCTGATATTCGATTTGTCTGGAAAGTCTAATTGATTTTGTATGTTAGTTTTATTCATATTGATAATGTTAATTATGTTATCATAAACAATAGTTTTAAAGATAAAAATATAATTAACAAAAAAGTTGTTTATTACACATGTGGTATTGCTCTAAGTTTTAACAGAAGAAAGTTTCGATAATGATAACTGCTGTGTGTAAAAAGCTTTTCAGTAAATGTCCTATGGAGATTCTATTCATAAGAAAATCAAACAAATATAAAACATTAATTGTTTTACTTGATTAACTGTGCAATCTCAACCTAAAAGTTTTCATTTGAATTCAATGTATTAGAATATGACACATTCATATCCTTTCCAACATATTCATCGATTAGATTAACCCATTAGGACCGGTGGTACAAGGGTTTTATCACCTATTTTCCAGTAAGGAAAATGTTTGTTTCTCATAAAACTATTATAATCTGTAAGGTAATATGTCGTTCCAGCTACCATTGCATGCATATCTTTCCTCTCTTTCTTCCTGTCATATAGATGCTTCTCAGATCTTCTCTTTTCTTTCTGCTCTATACACTGACGCCATGATCACTTTCTTTCTTATTTTGCTGAATTGTCATAAGGCTTTTATGTAATCATTTTGATCCACATACAATAAATTGACGAAAGAACCATTTTTCAATTGAAAAATAATTCCGTCCCCAAAGGGTTAAATATTATCTGTGGTTATAATATTTTATTGATGTTTGAAAAAATACAGAAAATATATGGCACACCTATTTCTAACTACAAGATAACCAATATAATGAAGAAAAATAGGTTTTTTAGAAAATAAAGCGAAATTATGTAGCATAACGTCTTTATCATATTAGTAATAGTTCACGGATTAGCAAGACTAGTAACGTCTGTTTGTGATAGTTCTCGATTGTAAATATAGAGTTCATCAATGTAACCTTGATAAGAACTAGTAACAGCATTACCAGAACAACTAAGCGTATAGCCTATGTAAAGATAGGCTAATGTACTGCTCTGCACGTATGACACAGTACCAGTTGAACCAAAAAGAACTCCATTAACATATAATGTGTATCCATTTGTAACACTATATGTCAATGAAATGTGTGTCCATATATTTTGCGTTACAAATGGACCAGTCAAATATGATGCATAGTTATTGAAGTTGTGTACAATGATCTGTCCCGATGTTGTACTACCACTAGATGAGTAAATGCCAAGCAAAGTTTCACAGCTAAATAAACTAATAGTTGACGAAAACATCTGAATAATTGCGATATTGTAGAGTGATGATGGATTTATCCACAAAGCCATTGAAAATGGTTTGCTAATAATAATGCCATAAGGAACCTGATAAAGACCGTAAGCTCGGAAATAGGACGATGATGATCCAAGAAAACGCATTGCCTGATTGACGCGTCCACTAACTGTCGCCGTATTACTTGATATCCCATCTAATCCATTCGGACCACTGTCAACAGTTGGATTTGGTGAATCAAATGAATAGTAAGCCATTAAGGATGCATCACGTAAAATTTCAACTGAAGATTTTGCTCTTGTTGTCAATGCTACATTATCGATATAACTCTGATAATAGCATGTGGTCGAATAGGTTTGAGCTGAACCAATGTGGATACTTCCATTTTGTCCTTGATAAGGTTGTGCATTTGATTTGATAGCGTCTTGAACTCCGTTGAGATATAATATTTGTTGTCGTGTTTCATAATTGTAAACAAATGCAATATGATACCAATAAGTAGTTGTAATAGCCGTGGAACCAGACAAATAATTCGATGTGAAATCAACGTACAAGCGATTATTTCGCATAATTAAATACAAACATTGATTAGTACAGGTTGAACATTGACATTGACCAAATATGCCACGATCAGAAGTAGTCGTTGAATAATAAATCCAAGCTTCAAATGTAAAACTTGTGTAGCTTAAGTTGAAAAATGGACTCGAAACTGCAAATGATTGACTTGATCCTGAAGTAAAGGTAAGTGCTTGACCATTTCCTACATAAGGCAAATTAGTTGCAGTCGCAGTAGTAAACAATGGATTATTTATTAGAAGACCGTTATAAACACCATATGAATCGTCTGTTGTATTATCGAAACTCCAATATGCAGAAACATTCACGGTAGATGCAGTAGTAGTTGTTGTAGTTGTTTCTATAAAAAAAATACCAAAATAGATCAATGAGTCATTGAATACAATTGCCGTTACAAGAAGTTTACTGTGTCTTTGTTAAAACCTATATATTACTCTGGAAATACTAAGGATCATACAAAAATTCTTCTCTGATGAATAATTATAGACGATTAAGATTGAGTTTAATGTTGAAAAGGAATTCAAGATTATTCAAAAGTAAATTTACCTTTAGATTTCGTAAGCAAAACACCAAGAACAGTTGCAACCGTAATAAGAGTAGCGATTACCAGAGATGCTGAAATACCCACTAAAACTTTTTTCTTGTTGTCCATCTGTAAAATAAATAAATAGGATTAATGTATAAAAAAAGACAAAAAATTATGTTACTTTGATATAGTTGGTATTTGATTAATATTGTCTGTTGTTATTGTTGATTCTTGAGTCGATGTTTTATATTTTTGTAGATGAGGAGATAATGGAGGCGACGGTGGGCTGGATATCTAAGAAAAATAAATAATTAGGTATTAATTATGTTTTCAAAAAATGACTTTAGATGTAATATGTGTTTAACTTACTTTTGAATGATGTTGATTGTTATTATTTGTTTCTTCAATATAATGTAGACGAACATTTTTAGGTGTTTCAAGCGAAGAAATATATTTCTTTTGACGAACTTCAAGTTGAGAAATAGCACTTTTACTAATTCGTCTTTCAAAGAGCTAAAACAACATTAACATAGAATAAAGTTTTAAGACAAGAAATGGATATTCAATGTAGTTATGGAAACAACTCCTGCTACCAGGTTAAAAAAAGTGTCTAAACTTTAATCCTTTAGTGTGATAGCTCGACCACAAACAGAACAATGTTAAGTTCTGATCGTAAGGACTTATCGAGACTTGATCAGTCTTTATGCCGACGAGCTTGAAGATCAAAATAGATTTTTCTTGAGACAAGAATGTCTTAATATAAAAAACAAATTTCATGATGTTAGACTTCTTATTCGATAGTTCAATGCTGCCTCTATCATCAATAAAAATTCCATGTAAAACAACTTTGGTTTATCTCATTTATAAAGTAATCTTTGCGTAATCTACTCATGAAAGATTATGAAAATCGATAAAAAATGACATATATACAGTAGACGTCAAAAGTCTCGCATCACTTTTTTGTTTTGGTTGGAATTTCAAAAATATACGACATAAATTTAAATTTCTTTTCACCTTCGGATAGCGAAGCTCGAGTACTATATGTATGCATATTTTTTAAATGAATAACTCTTGAATCGAAAACATACCAAGAAAAACAAACTTCAGTACTACAACAAAAACTACCAAAAAAAAGACAAAATAGTATAATTGTTATGAGTTGGAGTAAGATCCTAGTAATGTGAAAATCGAATGATTTTTTTGTTTGATATATTTTTTACATGAAACGATAGATCCCGATGAGCTCTAGAAAACTATCTATATTAAAAATTTTTAGAATTCTCTTCTGTGAGAAAAAAGATTACAAAATAATTTCATGCTTCGTTTATTCTATATGAAAAGTCAAGATTCTTTTTTATACCATAAAAGAGTAAAAATCACAATTTTATTACAAATTTTTGTTCCAGAAAATGGTTCTAAAAAATTTTAATATAGACAGTTTTGTAGAGCTCGTCGAGATCTATCGATTCATGTAAAAATATCAAACAAAGTCTTACTCGACTTTCGTATTACTTCAACTTTAGTGAAACTTCTATAACTCATAACAATAATACTATTTTGTCTTCTTTTTTTGTAGTTATTCTTGTAATACTGAAGTTTGTTTTTCTTGGTATGTTTTCGATTCTAGAGTTATTCATTTAAAAAATATGCATACATATAGTACTCGAGTTTCGCTATCCGAAAGGAAAAAAGAAATTAAAATTTATGCCGTGTATTTTTAAAATGTCAACCAAAAGAAAAAAGTGGTGCGAGACTTTTGACGTCCACTGTAGTTCTCGTTCATCTTAAATCCTTTGCATTAAGGTTTATCGGTTTTGGGTTCGTGCTGACAATCAAGGTTTACCGAACTCTATTTCTAATCAAAATATCAGACAAAAAAAATGAAGTCTATGTAATTTTCACCCAGTAACTAATTACGTAGTTTTCTTGCGGTTGCTGTGTAACCAATCTAGAGTATTAGTTTTTTTTATTTGTCGCGATTTGAATCAAAATTAATCAATGATGAAATACGTGATAGTACGAGCGTTGTTGTTTCTCTTCACTAATTTCAATTAGAATTACTTAGCTTTATATTGATTTTTTACAATCAAACTTAGAGTATCTCTATATAATTCCTTTAGAATGTAATGTATATTTATCTGTCGATCGTAACAATTAAGAAAATCATTTTAATTGAAAATTTTACATAGGTTATTATACATTGACAATGGTATTTCATCAATCAGAAGTATTTAGTAGTCTTTAAAGAGCATTTCAGAACTGTCGAGCCATTTGAATATTTGTATGTTGACGGTATGTCAAGGTAAATGATTATGGAATATATGTATTTGAAGAGTTTTCAAATAAATTGTTATTCAAGAGAAATTAGGCTGAATTTACAATAATGCACAGAGAATATCGTATTGGTATAAATATCGAAAAAATTTGATCAAATTTATGTTTTCGAAGTGGTTGAACGTTACTGAATTTTATTTGTTTGTTTTTCTCAAGTTGCATCGTCGTGAAGACAAAAGTAAATATTCTGAAATTTTTATTCCCGATGGATGTCAGTCAGATCTAATCTTCATGGAAATTTCATTCATTTTGATAGAAACAAATCAGTGTTATTCTACGAAAAAGTTGACTACTACAAACACTTAAAAAGATAAAAATGCATAAGGGGCAGTATTTTCTCAAGATAACTCTGCTTTTATTCTTTTAAAAAGAATAAAATTTACAAGATGATTAGATCTTATTAGAATCCATCTATTATGAAAACTTCAGAATATTTATTTTTATTTGCAAAAAATATGTGGCTCACTAAAGACGAACAAATAAAATTCCGTAATGTTTGGACGCACCGAAAAAATACTTTCGATTAATTTTTTTTTGATATTCTTATAAATGTGGTACTTTTCTTTGAATCAATACAAATTAAGTTGAATTTCTCTTTAGGCGCAACATATGTGCTATTCTTCAGATATATCTATTCAATGTCTATGCACCTTAAAACACAGTCAAGAGAAATAAAAATAGAAATGGAGTCGGCAGTTATGAAAAATCCTTGAATCATTCTGTGAATATTGATACAATCAGAATATAATTCTTTGTGTATTGAAAAACACTAGTATAGTAAAGAGTTTTGATGAATGATTTCTATAAACTCATCTAATCGCTACATTCGGTATGCAATATAATTTCGAAAACTGACGAACCTGGTTTTTAGTTGACTGATGACTTGAATTCGGTTCAATATCAGAGGTTAATTCATAATTATTTGTATGCGAAGGTATAGATGTTCTCCGAACCATACCAACTTTAACTGAATGTATGATTTTTTTCATTGTTTCACCTTGAATTTGATGATTAAAATTTGATTTGAAACTAGATGTTTCATTTCTCTTATATAGAACAATTGTTTTTTTTTTGTTCTGATTTCTCTTATCCATTCTCTTGTTAATTTAATTCAATATAAACAAAAACAGATCAAACTACGACTGAAAATGCACAAAGAATGAGTTTGTGTCTGTATTATTTTTAATTGCATGATGAGTTCGGAGTAAAGATCAAGGTACTTGTTATTTTGCTTTGTTGTTATGTCTGACAATATGTGTAAGAAAAGTTTTTATTATTGGTGAGAAAAAGTGTATCTATGTGAACCATGGCGACAATATTGTTCTTCTTTTTTTTTGTGCCAATTATTTCGTTCATTTTAATGAAATCCACTTGACCTTGGAACAATGAAAATATTGTGCACATATTTTTTTGATTGTTTTTTCTTTCATATTATATTATTCCGTACTTCTTGGAATAAAATTCAATTAATCAATCGAATTAGATGGTGTGCATTGTTTTTCGCACGAGCCCTGGATTATTCTTGTTTAACAATAACACATCTAATGGGTTTTTTTTTTTCATTATCCAGTTGTCATTTATGGTTTCATTAAATGAATAGAATCAATTTCATACTGCATACGGACACAATTTGACTTTTTGATGTTGATGACATATCGGAAGAAAAAAAATTACGTTGAAAGAATTTTATTGAAAGACAACTAAAACAATTTTTTTTTCTTAATAAAAGATACAATAAAATATCTTAATAATAAGGTAAAAAAAAATAATCTTTAAAGCTTAATCTAAGAATATGCTCTACAATCTTTTTTTCTCATGAAGAATTCAATAAGAAGTCTGTTTTTCATGTTATTATTATATATCTGAAAATCAATCAAGATTATAGAATTATTTGAATACAATTGTTCTATATTAATTTATGTGTGGATGGGATATTTTGAAATCAATTCCTATTATTGTACTATTTGAACATTTCATATGAAAATAATCTAAATGTATTACTTTCTCGTTCAACATGGATTCGATAATAATAATACAAATGAATCGAAGTTAAGTTTTGTGATAATGGCGTGCGATTTAATATAGTAACATGTTCATTTATATCATTATTATTGATTGTTTTTCAGACCTAGATTGAAAATAAAATTAACTATAATCTTATGCGTTTCTATCGTGTGATAAAAAAAATATCTCTTTATTCATTGTATTGGAATGTATAGTCTTTTGTTTATTAAATTAATAAAAAGTTTAACTATAGATTTCTTTAGCAAGAATTATATTCATTGGTCTTATAATCTATGAGAAAGAAAAAACAGTTTACTATGCCGAAGAGTTGCTTTCAATATTAAAGTAAAGAAATAAATAATAATTTTGACCTTTCATATAGTTTTCTACAAATTAGAATTTTCGATATTTTTGTAATTTAATACGATCATCATCAGTTTCTAAAGTCATCACTTATGACGTAAAGTTTCTCTTTGTTTCAAAACAAACCATAACAATTATTAATTGAAGAAATATAACATACACGAATTCATAAACATATACCTCGACGAATGTAATATTGACTAAGGTATGAATGAATGTTTTTGTAAGGTGAAAATTATATATTCTACTATAGAGTTCTGCACCAATAATAATAACTAATTTTGAAAGAAAAAATTTGAATAAAAACAACAAAATAGTTAACAAATAAATCATATTAATGCAGTTAAATTTAATGTTACAAATAGGAATTTTCGATCTGTTTTAGCTGGCAACATCATCGTTAGCTTTTAAAAGCATTACTTGTGAAGGTGGGGTGTCAGTGTGTGCAGATGTGACTAAAGTGTGCATGACGTAAGGATCCGTGGTTTTTGATGTCGGTCTCCACTTCAACCACACTGTTACATTCACATCAAAGACCCTCCTTCTAGAGGTTTCTAAAAAACATGAGTGCGAAAATGGAAATGAATATGTTTTCAAGACATTTTCATTAACCAATTAATAATGATGGAATAAACCCACTAGTTTTCACAGGTCTGAGAGATTTGTTGAACAAGCCATATCGGACTGAACTCGGTCAGTAATTCTCTACGCGTTACAACGCTGATCTGGAAAATGTATATCTATCAAGAATTGAAAATAAATTCTTCATTACTACCCAATAAAACTACTAAGGTTTCATTTGAAGTTTTTACTACGTCTATAAGACATTTTCTTATACTCCCATCTCAACCGTGCCATCTTCGCGTGGCTTCTGTCTGATATTCGATTTTTCTGAAAAGTCTCGACTACTTTGTACATCAGTCTTTTCTTGTCATTTCTACTGATATTGATAATCCTAATTGTATTATTATGAACAATAGTTCTAAAGACAATAATTTTAATAAAAACATAGTTGTTTAGGATAGTTTCGCCCTGTTTTTTCTTTTATTTATGAACCGGTCTACGTAAGGCACGACCGGAGCTGCTCAAAAGAGATCTTCAGATTTTCCTCAATCTAAGAAAATTTGATAGAAGGAAGAGTTTTATGAACTTTGGCGCAAGCCGTTTTGAAAAATATTGAACCGTTGAATTTTTAGGGCTGTTTTAAGAAAAGTACTAAAAATCAGCATCTCCGCCAATGCGAAGTCCTGACACGACTATAAAGGGTGTCCCATAATAACTGAGGATAATTTTTTATTCGTATTTTTCATAGTCTTACTCAACGTAGAAGGTTGAAATTTTTATCACATATACATCTGATCCAGATCTTTTATTGCTGAAAGTTATAGCTGTCTAGCTATAACTGTTGGTAAAATACATTGACAAAACTGAATACATAAATTTTGGTAATCGATTTCGCAGGGTAGTTCCATGCATAGCCAATCAAAAACTCACAAAGTATCCAAAAATTTACTTCCGCATAAGACTTTGTAGAGCCTTTTTCACTGATCCTTTTGATAAAAAAGTTCCTGAATTTTGTTGAGAAATGACGATGTTATGATCAAAATATTTATCATAAAAACGGAAGATGTCAGATTTTATTTGGTAGAAATATTGTATACAATGTTCTACCGTGATTTATTCATTCTATTCGTCAGTATCTGAGAAACCGTCTATGGTGTTTTGTAGAGCGAACTTTCCTCTACCAAAGCTACTACGTCACATTTCTTCACAACATAGCCATTCTGAGATATATGAATCGATTTTTGCTTACATTTTAAGCTATTTTACAGTGTTTAACTTTTTAACCACAACATTGTCATTTTTGAATGTAATTCAAAAAGTTTTTTTACCGAAATGACCAAGGAAAAAAGCTCTACCAAGTGTGATACGAGAGAAAATTATTTTGATACTTAGTGATTTTTTGGTTGACTATCCTTAGAACTACCTTACAATATTTTCGAAGTAAACATATATGCAGAAATCGATTACGAAAATTTATGTATTCAGTTTTGTCAATGTATTCTAAAATAGTTACGGCTAAACAACTGAAACTTTCAGCAATAAAAGATCTGGATCAGATGTATATGTGATAAAAATTGCGGTCTTCTATGTTGAGAAAAACTATGAAAAATAGGAATAAAACATTATCCTCAGTTATTATGGGACACCCTTTATCTCTAGAATAGAATGACCGATCGGGCTCAGATTCTTTATGGGCATGTATCTTCATGAGTTATAGCCACTGTATAAGTTTCAGGTCAAAATATAAAGCTCTTAATTTTTTGTGACTCATCCGAAATGAGAACAAATTTGGTGCTTCATAACTCGTGACGAGAATATGATAGAGGTCTGAAATTTTCACTCGACCTAGATCGCATAGCACTATATATTCCATAAAAACTTCAGCTCGATAGAAGCTTCCTTTTGACAAATATGATTTTTCGAAAAGTGGATTTTTGATGAAAATCGTGATTTTCAGACGGGGTTTTCTCTCAAAATACCAGGTAGTGTGAGGACTGAGATTAAGAAGTTAGAAAAGTCATCTGAGATGTACAACTTCATAGCAAAATGAGCCTGGGCCATCCAGAAACAACTTGCAACATATGTCATCTTTAGGAGCTCGAAATGAATATTTGGGCCCGGTCATGTATACAAATCTCATGAATGGATCACGCTAGATATCTGAAATTTTGGCTATATGTAGATCTCATTGAGTAAGTATTCTGATAAAAAATTCAGCTTTCTAGATAATTTCTATCGCTGAGAAGATCTTCAATAAAATTATGACTTTCACTAAAATCGCGCTATTGATAGAGTTGGATTTCCGTAGAAATAGATCTCATAGGAGTCGAGCTTGTGCCACTTTGAGTAACACATATAGTNATTATTTATAGAAGGAATATAAACATTTATTTTATTTGAACCACATTCTATACATAATTGTACATCATTTCCATTTATTGTATGACATAATTGACATTGCCATCGACGTTTAATAATAGAAGATTTTGTTTGGCTTATATGTTGATGTTCTTGGGAATGATTTTGATCTAATGATCGTGATCGATGATGTTCTTGGTGTAAATTATTTACTAATTCTTTTTTTTGTGTATTTGATGAATCGAATATTTGTGAAGGTTGATGATTATGATTATGATTATGTCGTGATTGTACAAGGAATTCGTTATTAAATGCACTTAAAATTTGATTTAATGATTCTTCAGCTTCTGGTGATAAAGCAGAATTGCCATAAAAATTTCCTTGTGAAAATAGAGTACCCATTTACCATTTGATTTTGTGTCTTCTTCTATTATTCTTTCTTTCTTTCTCTCTCTCTCTCTCTCTCTCTTTGCTTTTCCTTGTCCAACCAAGTGTGATTACGAAAAAAGAAAAAGAGGTGAACAACAACGCTCGTCTCATTTTTTACATCGTTTACGTTCGCATATTTACACGGTCGACATCAATTATTTCCTCATGTATATTACATTTGAGATAATGACGTATAAGAGAGAAGGAACAAAATAACGATCAAAAAGAAACGAAACGAAACGAAACGAAAACGTATGAAGAAAAAGAAATTAGAACAACCACGCGTCATTTAATACTCGTGATTATGATGAAAAGTACGCCGAATGTACTCTGATAACTGATAATCAACTGTCAACGACGTTTCTTCGTGCACTACTTTACTTTTCAAATATCGAAGACATTCATTATTGTTTTAAATAGTTCTTCAAAGTTTACTTATTTGATTAGAATCTTTAATGTATTTAAAAACTTGTTTAAATAGAATAATATTTTAACGATTATTTTCTATTGAAAATTTCTTTTGATTATATCGTTATTTCAATTACATTTCATTATTAAATTTCGATAATTTATCTTTTAAATAATCAATAGGAATAATAAACAATCGAATAACTTCGTTATAAAAGTCTTTCTTTCTTGGGGAAATAAAAGTTTATTTTTGAAATTCTCAAAAACAATATAATTGCTAATAGTGACCTCTATAGTATTTAAATAGGATTGATAAGTTCTTCTTAGTTATTTATATATAGATAAATAAAAAACTGAAATATTCTTATTGAATAGTTGCTAGTCTTTCTCTTATTTATATATTCTAATGTTAGATGAAGATACGAAATATTGTTTCTAATGCATATATTATTCATTAGATCTTCTCGAACGTATTGAATAAGGAATTTCCATTAAATCTATAATCAAGCATGAATAAGAGCAATAATAATCATTACTTTTAGTTCCATATTATTTTTTGCATAGGAATATATTTTTTATAATAAAATTTGAAAAGTTGTAACTTGATCTTTGTTTTTATTGATAAATTCTTTGCTATGATACTTTATTTCAGATTTCTATTTGAAATTTTGATTCAGAATTGTTTTTTTATTTATTTGATTAAATAGAATTTATAAAGTATAATGGAAGTAATTCATGATCAATTAAATCAAGAATTCAAAATTGAACTTGATAAATCAACATCTGACAAAGGTTCTTTGTTTTTTCTCTTGTTTAATGATAATAATAATCGTTTTTTTGTTAAATTTTAGCTTATTTATCATATGAATATCAAGGTGATACAATTGATTTTCAACATACATTTGTTCCATCAAAATATCGTGGTCAAGGTATTGCTGAAAAACTTGTTCAAGTAAAATAATATTTATATAATTAAAATAAAAATAAAAATAAGAAAATTTTGTTTTCTTTTTGTTAGAATGCTTTAAGTTATGTTGATAATGAAAGTTCAATTAAAAGAATAATTCCATCATGTTCATATGTTGCTAATTTTTTATTAACAAAAGCTCCTCAATATGCTCGTTATTTAAAGAAATAAAAAAATTCTTTCTATTTTTATTTTTATTCTTTCAGATGACAACAATTCGTTTAAAACTTCCATCAAATTTATATCGTCCATGGAAACCACTTTATCATCAACGATCAAAAAAACAAAAAGATCCCCCAGCTCCATATACACCATTAGAACAACAATTATATGATCATGCTAAAATTAAATTTGATCAAAGAGTTAATATTCTTCGATCAATATTTGCTAAAGAAGGTCAATCATTATCAACAAAATCTCGTTTTGCTCAACTTCAACTTAAAGCTGAAGAACAAGAATTTAAACAATTAATTAATATGGTCAAGTATGTTTCTTTTTCTTTTTCTCTTTTTATGATTAGATAAAAACTAGAAAAAGATATTTTAACTTTCATTGTCTAAATTTTATAGAATTGTAAATGTCTAGATCGTAAATATGTTCTTGGTAAAGACAGTCACCATATGATAAAACAAAGTTAATCTTGAATTAATTTTCATTTTTTTTGGTTGAGAAAACCATTTGAAGAAAATAGCTGAATTTTTCTAAAACTAGACTGAAGGTTCTCGGGTCCATAAGATTCGAATCTATAGGAGGTTTGTCGAAATTCTCAAGTTGAATATTCTCGTTCGAGAAATGCTTAGTTCTGAAAATTTATTGATATTTAATAAAATCGAGCTATTTTATTAAAATTTAATCTATGAAAATCTAAATGAATTTAAGATTGATGTACTGATGATCATTCTCACTGTTGTGTTCGTATCTTATTTCAAACTGTGAGGATATCAATATAAGTTTATTATGTAGAGAAAATTTTTCTATTTAGTTTAACATTTTGATCAAAGTATCTCGATAGATGATGAAATAATATAATAAATAAGTTTTTAATATATAAAAGAATAATTTATTTTTTTAGACAAGAAAATGAACGTTTACTTACAATGCGACGTAATGATGAACGTTTAGCATTAGAAGAAGAAGAAAATATTCGTTCTCAAATTCTAAATATTTTATCTGAAAAACAATTTAATGAACATATTAATATTGAAGAAGAAGTAAAACAAATAAAAACTGAATCTCGTTCATGGGTTAATCCAAATGATTTAATACGTGAAATTGAACGAATGCTTAATGAAAAACATGATTATAATTTTTCAATTGATTTAGCTGGAATAAAACGAACACATTTAGGAAAAGAAATTGTTGATCAAAATAAAACAAATTTAGTTTCAATGTCACCATTTGAATTTGAACCAAAGAATGTTGCAAGAAAACCACCTGGTGCTTCGAAATATGAAGAATAAATTGTTTAACTTTTTGATTTTCAATAAAAAAACATTTTCTTTATGTTAGCATTGATTTGATAATATTATTAAACTGTTTTGTGTTTCTTTGTTATTTTAAGATAAAATAAAAATCGAATGTCTCGTTCAACATCGGGAAATACCAATCGAATCAAATCGGGTAACGGAACGAAAAAAGATAAAACAATAACTAATGGAAGTCAACAAAAAAGTATATTTTTATTTTATTTTATGTTTTTGTTTTTGTTTTTTTTTTTTTCATAATATTTAATAATTAAGATAATAAAAAAGAAGAAGCTTCATCAAGTGATGATGATAATGAACCAATTCGTGTTCCAATTCAATTAAAAATTGAAGTAAGATATTTAATGAAATAAAAATTAATATTTATTCGTTTTCAGTTTGTTAATTCAATTATGTTTCGTCAATGGACATTAGCAAAAAAATTATGTCATTTTGTATTAATGTATGAACCAAATAATAGTGAAGCTAAACAATTTGCTCCACTTATTGATTATATGTTGGAAAAAGAACAATCTTCATCATCTTCTGATGATGATGATGATGATTCAAGTGGTAAAATAACAAAATAAATAAATTATCAAATAGATTTTTATTTTTATTTCTTTATTTAGATGATGATTCATCTGAAAATAGTAGGAGTTCAGATTCTTCATCAAATGAAGAAAAAAAACAGAATGATACTATTCAAATTCAAACATCAAAACCAATCAATGCTTCGTTATCAAACAAATGTCCATATCATAAGTGATACACAAACTTCCGTCCATTTTATTTTCATTCTTTTTTTTCTTATTTGCACGTATATTTTTAATTAAAATGAATCTCATCAAAATAAATTATATTTCCAGAACATACATTTAATTATTTTATCAAACTGAGTTTTTCGATTTTTCTTTGATGAATCTAATAAATTATAAAACAAAGATTAGACCAGTTATTGGTTTTGATTAATATTACAGTTGTGTACTAAACTATTGTTCTACTTACGATTGACCAAAAACTTCTGACAATATTTAAACAAGATTTTAAAACAAGAGATATCATAGAACATAAATATGACCTATAAGTATCTGTATACGTGACATGCTGATGGTTTGATTATGGATGAGAAGGATCCAGAATAGTGAATAAACAGGGAGAAAGATAGAGAAGACATAAAACAAAAACAATGAGAAGAAGAATGAGAGCTAGACCGATTATCTTCAATCTAAGCCTAGGTTAACAGACATAGAAACGATGATGGCCTTAACCTTTTTTTCCAACTGCCTGGTGAAAAAAAACATACAGAAAGAAAAATATGAGAATTCTACAAAATTTCACGAAACACAAATCAGATATAACATAGACACATACAGGATCATTATGCATCATTCGAATAGAAGGAGAAAAAAAGAAATAACAATATAAATACACAGATGTTAAGAATGCACCTGATTTGGGATTCTCTAACGTAAAAAACTCAGAAAGTGTTTATACTAAAACTTCAGAAATTCACATTATTCGATAGTGTAGAATTCTGTATTTCACATAAGCGTTTAAAGGTCCAATAAAAGTTACACAGCGAATTTCGACAAGATTTACAACCAAGACAGAGCCTGAAAACCAAATATTGTGAATCGAAAGCTTTTTCCAATGGATGACTACAAGTGATATTTGTACTGTTCGAAAGAGAAAAGAATTATATACCAAACTGAATCAATTAGAGATTCAACACAAATAGTAAAGCGGATCTGGAGACGATGTACAACCAAGACATAGTGAACAATTAAGTATTACGGGTCAGAGTTGTATATTTGACTCGATAATCCCATCAAAATTGGTCTTCTCTAATAGAGCTTGAAATTCTGCGTCAAACACAATTAATAAGATATTCAGCCAAGGGGGGAAAAGCAGATTTTGGGACCTAAAATCTTTGGAAATCTTGAAATCTGCTTTTTCCTCCTTGAGTTCCACTTGTTAATCTAGCACTTCATATAGTTTCCTCTGTGAATTCATAGTTTCTTTATTTAAAAAAAAAAAAGAGTAAAAAAAGAAGAAGTTACGTCAACATACAAATGTATATAAATTAATCTGATGTACCGAGTAAACGTAGATCGGTGTCACTTGTTTGTATATCGTCTAATGTAAAAACTGGAGATTAGAAAAAAATAAATTTTATTTTTTATTAGTCACCTGTAGGATAGAAACTGTGTCCTATAACAATCATTGGTACTTGATGTGTTATTATTCGTCTTACATCATCATCTTTTGCCGTGTAGGTAAAATAAAAGTAGCTTTTTGCTGGTTTACATGCGCCTCCAACTGTATCAATTTGTTTTATATAAGCACGAATTCCGTTTTTTTTACGTTTTTCACTAATTTGATTTGGAGTACAGTTAGTATAATGTGCAATTTGAAGATCGGAAAACGCTAAGACTTTAGATTTATATAAAAGTGGTTGACCATCAAGGATGGCTAAACCAGTTTGTTTAAGTTTAGTAAAAAATTTAATAGTTTATTTTAATTTGTTGCGGAAACATGGATCAATTTGTGTTAATTTCGATAGACGTTCAATGGTATACCTTTGCTGAAGTGCCTTTGCTAATAGAAAAATATATTGATAATTTAGAGCACTGAATTCCTATAATAAAATAAATTAAATTTTAAAATGATGTTTAATTAATATTACATTATCTGTAACTGTTTGTGGATATGGATCAAAACCAGTTACATGTTCATTGACCATTCTTAAAGCTTGTTGAAAAGCTTCCTCGAATGATCTGCCAATTGACATAACTTCACCATTACTTTTCACTAATCAGGATAAAATAGACATTTTTAATAGTTAAAATCATCACTTACTAAAATTTCCAAATTTTTTTGAACATTGGATAGATTTGCTTAAATTCTTTCTTGAAGCTTTAATTGTAACGTAATCAAGACTTGGTTCAAAACAAGCACATGTTGATTTTGTAATATGATTTATTAATTCTGCTAAATTCATTCCAAGCGTAAGTTTAACTACTATATATGCTAATGGATAACCAGTTACTTTTGATTCGAATGCAGATGAACGAGATAACCGTGGATTTATTCCAATTATATAATATTCATTACATGATGGATGTAGGGCAAATTGTACATTGCATACGCCAACAATACCTAAATGACGAGCAACTTTAATTGATACATTTCGTAATAAATAATATTCATCATTTGATAATGTTTGACTTGGTGTAACAATAATTGATTCACCAGGACGAATTCCTAATGGATAAATATTTTCCATATTACATACCTAGAGCAGAAAAAAAGCATGATATCAAATATCCGATGAAATAATTTTATATAAGACATACAACAATACAATTATCCAATTGATCACGAACAATTTCATATTCAATATCTTTTCAACCTTTGACTGATTTATTCATGAATAATTGTGATGAACCAGATAAGACTGAAGTAAATAAAGATTTTAATTTTTCAGGCTTATCGGCAAAGCTTGATGGAAGATTATCCCGTGCAGAAGCATCACTAAATAGAACAACTATTCAAGAGAAATATACAGAATATCTTCATACCGAACAAGAACTGGATAACCAAGTCTTTCAGCTGATATCAATGCCTAAAATAGATCATTACAAATCATATTTCAAATCGTCTTGTTCAAACCTCGTCAATCAAATTAACAATTTCATAGGGAAGAAATTTTTCTCCAATAGAAGCCATTTTTTGTGTAAATAAAAATCGATCTTTAGCTATTTGAATTGATTCAATGAGTGTACTATTTATATTATCAGAAAAAACAATAATTTAACATATGATAATATTTTACTTACCCTAATACATTGAATGAATATGTTTTAAGAATACCTAATTGATGTAATTCAATAGCACAATCTAATGCTGCTTGTTCATCAAAACTAAGTAAAATACCATCTGAACGTTTTTCTTGAATAATTTTTTCAACATAATATCGTGTTATTAGCAAAAGATGTACTTATTAGTAAGTGTTTATTATAGTTTTACAGTTCTATAATATACCCACACAGAGCAGCTATCATTTGCCAATAGCGATTTATTTAACTATTCTGATTTGCTTAGTTATGAAAGAAATAGCCATCGATTCTGACAATCGTAACAGTAATAGTGCGGAAGGAAGCGAAAACAATGATTATACATGTTCATTAATACTACCATATGCTAATTGACAGTTATCCTTTGTTGGATGGGTCTATAGATAATAGAAAGAATGCAAACAAATACGAAGTAGTAGACAAAAAAGAAAACCATGAAGACGAAGGTAATGAGATAAATATGGATGCATAATATAACATTGAATAATCTTTTATTAAATAGAAACCTTTCGAATAACACTTCTGAACTTGGTGACTAAAGTAGTTATTAGTCACTAAAGATGTTAATTTTCATGTAAATCAGTTTTTATCTATGTCAAATAAATAAGTTTTAAAAATTTATAAATTTCATGTCACACTTTTTTCGACATACATTTTTGTTTATTCGCTCTGTAAAGTCAATTCAATGGTTAACTGATATTAGTATACAATTTGATAGTCCACGGTGTCCTCTAGCAAACACCAAAGTATGGTCACTAAATAATAAAAAAACATTGAAGGAGAAATAATTAACGAGACACCTTTATCCTCAATTTGACGTCAAGGTACTGTAGATATTATACTAAGCATTTATGAATAAACTTACATCAGTTTTTATATAGTAAATATTACGTTTACCTTTCTTCAACATGACTTCTTCATTTTCGCATGAATAAGACATGACTATCGATGAAAATAATATTAGATATTGACGAAAAAAGTCATTAGTAAACTAACTGGACTATGTATCTACGCTATTTTTTTTCATCGAGGTCATCTATTCATTTTATTCAATGATAGCGACTGACACAAACAAGTCATTAACATATACAGTGGATACCAAAATTGATCAACCATCTGATTGAATTTTTTTTGTTTTATTCATATCTCAAAAGTTAAATAAGCTAGAATGGTCTGGTTTTCACCGTAACTTAGCCCATAATATCTCGCATTGATACATCAAATCACAGGTCAAAATTTCAGTCTGTTCAGTTTTTATTTAAGAAATGATAAAAGCCTGTCATTTTTCACCGTTCCAAAATTGATCAACCACTTGTTTTTATGATTGTCTTCGTGCGTGTTTCAAATCATCATTTTCTTTATAACATACCATTTGAAAGAGCAACCT